CTGTTCATGCCCCAGGGTGCTGGGTTATACATTTGGGTTTTGTGGGTTAAAACCAACTGTTTGTCTGTATAATCGTATTTATTGTATTATTTTATTAAATTGTTATTCTGACTTCTAATCTCTCCTTTGAGTTGAGTTCATTTCCCCTGCTGGTTTACCTTTAATCCAGCACAGGGATTCCTTCATTGCTGGCTGCTGGCACAGGGGGCTGAGAGCAGCTGTTGAACTGCCAGGACAGTCCTGCCTCCCCCCCAGCCCCGGGTTGCCGAGGGTTTCTCCCCCCACCTGGGGAACTGGGACTTTGTTTTGTTTCTTCTGAAAGTTTTTGATCGCACCATTTGTTGTTTATTCAGATTTTGTTAATAAAAAGCTGTCTCTTTTCCTTTTCCACACTTCCACCTGAAGTTTCTTAATTCCTAAACTGTAATCTTGTTAAACTAAGACACAGGATTATTCCTTCCCCTCTGTATTAATCACCTGGGATTTTTCCCTCTCTGCTCTGCCAAGGTCTTTTCTCGGCCAAATTCTCACCCAAAACCACGGGGAGTGTAAAAATACCCCACAATCCACTTGGATTTCTTCAACACATCCCCACTTGTACCACAAAAGCACAACCCATGAATTCCTAATTCCACCTCCAGGAGCTTTAGGATTCTTAATCAATGCCCTGATTAGAGCTGACAATTATTTTTGCAGCTGATTTGCATGTCAGACTTCCAGTGATAATTAAACCACTTCACATTTCACCCTCTTCCCCACTAAAAACCCCACAACAATACAAGGTTGATGATAAATTCTCCTTATTAAATCCTTGGGGCACAGCCAAGGCTGGGAGCCAGTGCTGATCCTCCCAGTGCTCTGAACCTCCAGGAGGTTTTGCTACCAGGATTAAGCTCAGCAAATCCTTGTTTGGAAGTTTATAGCACTGCTGGTACAGCAACCAGGGATATCTGTGCTTGGTTTTGGCCCAGCTCCTGGGCTTTTATCTCCACATGTGTTAGATTGATGACAACGAGGAGCAGGGTTGGCTTAAATGGTCTGTGTCAGCACTGACACAGGCTCAGCAGAAAAGCTCTGCTTGGAGGGGGATGTCTTGATTCCCAGATTTGTGAATCAGCTCAGGAGAACCTCCTGGCTCTGCAAATCCACTCCCCTCTGGAGTCCAGCCCCATCCAACCCAATAGGTTGGAAATGCCACCTTCCAGGGGCAGTTGCTCGTGGGATTTCTCTCATTCCACTGCACAAAGGTAGCTCTTTGTGCAAACACAGCCCCATTTCCAGGAAAATCCTCAAAAATCTCCTCCCCCAGAGCAGATCAACACCCCCAACACACTCCTAAACCCCTCAGTGAAATGTATTGGACAGGAGAGGACCAGAGTGCATCCAGATCCATGCTGGGATGCAGCCAAGTCATGGAGTCATGGAATGGTTTGGGTTGGAAGAACCTTAAAGCTCATCCCGTCCCTCCCCTTCCCATGGGCAGGGACACCTTCCACCAGCCCAGGTTGCTCCAAGCCCTGTCCAACCTGGTCTTGGACACCTCCAGGGATGGGGCAGCCACAGCTTCTCTGGGCAACCTGTGCCAGGGCCTCCCCACCCTCACAGGGAACAGTTTCTTCCCAATATTCCATCTAAACCACCACACAGAATCATGGAATTGTTTGGCTGGGAAGGGAACGTAAAGCTCATCCAGTGCCACCTCCTGCCATGGGCAGGGACACCTCCCACTAAACCAGGTTCCAACCTGGCCTTGGACATTCCCAGGGATGAGGCAGTCACAGCTTCTCTGGGAATTCCATCCCAGCCCCTCCACACCCTCACATCCAACAATTCCTTCCCAATATCCATCTAAATCCCCCCTTTTCCAGTGGGAAGCCATTCCCTGTGTCCTGTCCCTCCATCCCTTGTCCCCAGTCCCTCTCCAGCTCTTGGAGCCCCTCTAGGCCCTGGAAGGGGCTCTCAGGTCTCCCTGGAACCTTCTCCAGGCAGAGCAACCCCCAAGTCCTACGTTGCTGCTATTGTTTTAAAAACAATCCTCCAAACCATTTTATATCACAGAGTTGAAAACTTTGGCATTTCTAACAACTCCTTGGATGATACAAACAGAAATTGCCTAGGACTTTGCTCTACATTAAAACAGCAGAGTAAAATACAACAAAAATAGTCCATAAATATATATATTTTCTAGTTCTTTATCATCTCACACTGATGTTGTGTCAAGCTGAAAATGCAGGTTAGAAGAAATCCTTCAGTGCAGAAATATGCAGTGATAACCAGCTGGAAAAGGATTTTTTTATGGAATATTGAGTGAAATAAAGGCATTTTCTGTGCCTTGTCTGCCTTACCTTCCTGATGCAGCACGTGTAGGGCACCCCACAGGCCAGGGGCCCACTGCTGTTGCAGGAGTGGTACTGGTTGACCCCCCAGTCTCGATATTCATCCCCACCACAGCAGGAAAACTGCACAGAGAGGAAAAGAGAGGGTGAGAGGGGCAGCTGAACCAGCATTTCCAGGGCCATGTCCTGCCAGGTCAAGGGGGAGTGGATTTAACCTGAAAGAGAGCAGGGCTAGATGGGATATTGGGAAGGAATTGTTGGCTGTGAGGGTGGGGAGGGGCTGGGCTGGAATTCCCAGAGAAGCTGTGGCTGCCCCTGGATCCCTGGAAGCATCCAAGGCTGGGTTGGAACAACCTGGGCTGGTGGAAGGTGTCCCTGCCCAGGGCAGGGGTGGAATGGGCTGATCTTTGAGATCCAACCCAATCCAACCCATTCCATAACTCCACCTCCAACACACCCCCCTCCAGCCTTTCCCTGCCATCTCCATCCCCAGCTTTGACAGCCCCAATTATTTCCTGCTCTCAGGACCCTGAATGGGAAGCTGAAGACACTGTAAAACCAGCAGAGTGGGTGTTAAGCCCTGCTTAGCCCTGGTTTAGAGGCTGTGGCAGTTCCAGGTGGATCCCAGTGTTGGAGTCAGCTTTGCTTGGAGCCCAGCAAAGCTCAGGCTCATTCAAGCCTGACTGATTTAATTCCAGGTGACTAATCCAGCCTATTCCCGAAGGGAGATGGCTCTTCCAGCCCCTGAATGAGCAGATTTCTTGGCTCTTGAAGGCAGCTCAGTTGGTGCCATTCAATGCTAATAAGGCTCCAAAGTCTAACAGGGATTTCTCCTCCTGTCAAGTTAAATTAGAGATCAAATGCTGCAGCTACAAAGGGGGAAAAAAAAGCTGCTTTTTTCTTCTCTTCCCACAATGAAGGCAAAAAAAAAAAAAAAAGTTTAATGAAAGTCATTCTCTGTTCTCCACAGAATAAAAATGGGTTTGTTACAAAGCAAATCATCCCTTCTTGTGGCAAACAAATTTCAATCTTCACATTTTTCCCCCAGAAAGAAAAGCCTGGAGAGGCAGGAGAGGGAAGGGGGTGTTTGGTAAGAGAGAAAAACCCCCAGGTTTTCTCCATTTTTAAGCATCAACCTCTTCAAGGAGCAGTTTTTGCAGAGGCTGAACCCTCTGAGTATCTGCTCCCCCCAGGGGTAATTCTTGGCCAAAGGGAGTAGGAGAAGCCACAGCTCTGGGGGTTCTCCCACCCCAAAATGGGCAAACATGGCCAGGAGCAGCCAAAACACAGATTTGCAACTAATTTCTGACTTCCTACCTCTAATTCCTTTGTTGTCTTTAATCCCACCTGTGTCAGTGAGGGAGAGCAGCTCCCAAAATATGCCTGGAAAGAGGGGAGAAAACACCCAAAGGGATATTGGTGGGCTTGATACCCCAATGCTGCAAAGTTTTTTTCCATTTTCTTTTTTAATTGTGCAAAACTTGGTATCAAATTCTTCAAACAAATTGCCAGGAAGCCTCACTGGAGTGTTTTCTCCTCTGCAAAAAGAGGTTTAGCCCAAACTCCTGTTGTGCCCGTGCTTATTTCTAATAAGGTGGGCCAGCCTTCAGGTGGGTTTTACTTTCATGTGGGTTCCTGCAGCTCAGAGAGGAATAACAGGTGGAAAAACCAAAGGGAGGACATGGAAAGAGCCTCCCAGGTCCCACCTGAGCAGCTCTGAGTGTTCAAAACTGCCTCCACTATCTGAGAAATGAGGATTTTTTTTCCAGCTCTAATATCCCCCTGGAAGGAGCCCCACTGTGGGAGCTGCCTTTAATCCTTCTCAGAAGAAGGGAGGAAGTTTTATAAGCACATCTCACCTCTCTGAGCTTTACTTTGAGTTTGGGCAAGAACTGAAGCTCTGGCAGCTCTTTGAAGTTCAAATCAAACTTTGCTCTTCCCCTTGTAGCAGCAAACCACTAAAAATGATCAGAGAAGGAGAACTGAGGGAGTGACTGGCACCAAACCTGGTTGGATTTGCTTTTAAGAGAAGCACAGTCGATTTTATGGCACCTGAGCAGCCCAGGTTACTCTGAGAGGATGAAAACTTGGTGCCAGCATGGAGGGATCACCACCAGACCTGCTTTTTTGGATAAAACACAAGCCCAGAGCAGCCTGTGACCATCATTTACTGTTAATTCTGCCATTTGCCTCACTAAAACCCCTGGCTGAGCTCAGCTTTGCTGGCACAAGGCTTAGTTAGGTCAGGCAGAACCACCCCAGCTCCTTAGGATTTGAGTTTGGCTTGAACCCTCTCTCAAGTCATATTAATTTTTGAGGCCAATTTTTTTCCATTTCCAGTTGCTCACAGGCAGCCACGCCCAGGAGGCGACAGCAGGTGAATCCACATTGTTTGCACCATCACCCTGGTAATGAAACATTGCAATTCCTGGCACTTAAAAAACAATATTTAGAGGTTTTTCTCACTCTTCTTTGCTGAACTCGTGCCCTTTGCAGCCCTGGGATGTGAGGCTGGAGACCACCAGGACTGGTTTAAGCGTGGGAAGGGGCTTGGCTCTGGTTTAAGGCAACACTTGAGAGAGGGTTCAAGCCAAACTCAAATCCTAAGGAGCTGGGGTGGTTGTGCCTGACCTAACTAAGCCGTGTGCCAGCAAAGCTGAGCTCAGCCAGGGGTTTTAGTGAGGCAAATGGCAGAATTAACAGTAAAGGATGGTCACAGGCTGCTCTGGGCTTGTGTTTCATCCAAAAAAGCAGGGCTGGTGGTGGTCCCTCCATGCTGGCACCAAGTTCTCATCCTCTCCAAGTTGAACTGGGCCCATAGACCCAATTTTTAGTATCTTCTAAGACATAAATCCTCTGCTTTGGCCTCTCCTGGTCCCTCCCTCAGGATGAGCAGCTCTGCTGATCTCAATCCCTGCCTTTGCTGTTGCTCCTGCTTTGGAAACCACAAAAGCACATCAACCCTCCCAGCAAGGAGCTGCAAACTCTTGCAAAGCTCATTGTCTCCGAGGTAAAACGTGGGATAATAAAGATTTATGTGGAAGTGGCCACAACTTTTAGCACAGAGAGAGCCTTCGAGATGAGGATCTTCCCCTGAAAACTTGTAATAGAAAGGGGAATAATGATTCAAGGGAAGAAGTAGAGGGGAAAAATGTTGGAAAAAGGGAGGGAAATTGTTTGATAAGAGTCTAATCCTCGGTGGTTTGGAGATACAGGAACGTTCCCATAAATAAACCCAATTTATCTGGAGGTTTGTGGTCCGAGGCTCCTCAAGGGTGACTCCAACAAGGACTTTCTGCACCCATTTATCATCCAGAAGTTGGGATTCCATCCTCCTTTTGGGGTGGTTAGAGCAAAACTTGGAAAATATTCTGATCTTGCTCAGAATTGGGCAGGACCTGAGACCTTCAGAGGGTTCTCAGCCTGATTAATGAGCTCAGCTCAGCAAGGCTGGCTCCAAAGGCAAGAGCAGGGATTTAATCCAAGGCAGGAGAGCTCAGAGGGCCTTAAATTCCAACCACATCAAAGAGGAAGGAGCTTCAAATCTCCTTTTCTTCAAAGAGAAACAAAAGACTCCCAGATTTATGATGCTTCAAAATGAAAGGAGAGAAACTGGGCTGAGGGGAGAACTGAAAGAGCTTTGCTGGGAAAGCTCTGCTCTCCTCAGCCAATCCAGGACACAGAAAATCCCTGAAATTCTCCTCCTGCACCTCAAGTTTTGAGGGTTTTCCACATTTTTCCCCCATTTATCAAATGCTTTGAGCCAAGTGGTCCCTCCACAGTGACTCAAATAATGGATAAACCAAATATCCTCAAAATATGAGCAAAACTACATCCCCCAAATACCCAGATGAGGCACTTGGGGACGTGGTTTAGGGTGGGCTTGGCAGTGCTGGGTTGGACTTAGACAGGACTTAAAGAGTTGTTGGTCCTCGGGGGTCCCTCCCACCTCCGAATATTCTGTGATTTGATGACTTAGAGGATCTTAGGGGGCTTTTCCAACCTAAATGATTCTGTGGAGGTCACCTCTTCTTCCAGAAAATCTCCAGTTTTCCCATGGGAACAAGGGCTTGGCCAGGTCCTGGCGACACCTGAGTCAGGAGACCCACCCAAGGTGCCCCCCTAAGGGTCTCTGCAGCCCTGAAGCAGCTCCAGCACATGTTATTTTACCTCTTCGCCTCCCCCTGAGCAGGTTGGGGAAGATCCAAAAAAGCTCCCAGGCTTTGGGTCCCAATTTCCCACCAAAACACGGGAATATAAATACCCTGGAGCGGCTCGTTCCGCGGTGAGGAGCAGGAGGTGCTCTTTGCAGCTACACAGACGTCAGAAGAACTCACCAAAAACCCCCCTGGGGAGCAGAAGTGCCCAAAAAAAACCCCCCTGCAAACCCACCCAGGTCAAGATGTTCCAAGCAAAGCAGCCAAAGGCTGGGAACAAACTCTAAAAGCACAGTGAGAAGGAATGTTTGTGCTTCAGGGGTGAGTGGAGTCAGGAATTCCTTGGAAAATCCGTCGTCAGACCCCCCCTGAGGTGACTCCCCCTCCAACCAAACCTTTTGTTGCACAAAATCCAGGATGTTCTTGAAGTCCAGGTCATCGTAGTAGTGCCTGATGCCCTCCTGGATGTTGGAGTGGAAAACCTCGTTCATCTGGGGACAGAAATCCCAAAAATACGACTCATGGATGGAAAATGTTGCAAAACACCAGGTTTTCCAGAGCTGTCGCCGGAGGAGAAGTTTAACCCTGGGACAGCCTATTTTTGGGGGGCAAACTCCATCATTTTTGAGCTCTCTGGGTTAGAGCTCCCGTGGAATCTCCCCTTTCCCTGCACGTCCAAGCAGATCCACCCAACTTTCTCAACATTTTATTATTTCCCATTATTTTTCCCGTTATTTTTCCATTACTTCTTAATTATTGATTTTTCCTTATTATTTTTTAAATTGCCTTTTCCTTTATATTGTTTTTTCCTTATTATTGATTTTTTTATTACTGATTTTTTCTTGTTTATTTTTTCTTATTAATTTTTCCTTTTTATTGAGTTTTTCCTTTTTATTGATTTTTTAATTGGTCTTTTCTTATTATTGATTTTTAGTATTTATTTTTTCCTTTTTATTGATTTTTTCCATATTGCTGATTTTTTCCTATTATTGACTTTTCCTTATTATTAATTTTATTACCGATTTTTTCCTTTTCATTTTTCCTTATTAATTTTTAAGAATGAATTTTCCCTTTCAATGCGGTTTTCCCTTTTGAAGAATTTTTAATAATGAATTTAAGAATTAATTTTTCCCTCTAATGAATTTTTCCCTATCATTGATTTTTAGTATTTCTTTTTTCCTTTTTAATGATTTTTTCCCCTTATTGCTGTTTTTTTCCTATTATTGATTTTTTCCTTATTATTGATTTTTTATTATTTATTTTTCCTTTTCTATTGACTTTTTCCTTATTATTATTTTTATTATTGATTTTTTCCTTTTTATTCATTTTTTATTATCAGTTTTTCCTTATTACTGATTTTTTTGCTATCAATTTTTTCCTTATTATTGATTTCTTTATTATCGATTTTTTTCCATTTTATTGATTTTTTCCCCCTAATTATTGATTTTTTTTCCTCATTCCTGATTTTTTTCTTTCTAATTAAAGCGATTTCTCTGGAAAGCTCCTTCAAGCCCTTCAATCCCATGGGATTTTAACCACCGGAAGGAGGTTGTGCTGCTTTAGGGGGTGAAATGGGAGGTGATTTATCCATGGGATGAACTCCAGGAGAGAGTCAAGAACTCCTCAGAACCCTCAATCATTCCCCAATCCCAACAAATCAGCAATTCCATCATTTCCCTGGCTGGGCTGAGGCTCCTGCTGCTCCTCCAGCAGCTGTGAGGCCACTTTGCCACATTTGGCTCTTCAAATTAACCACTAATTGAACTAAAACCCCATTTTCCAGGTGCCTGGGAAGGTTCTGGGAAGGAGCTGGGAATGTCCTGGGAAGAGTCTTTGACTCCTCACAACCCACCAGGAATGTTAATGAGGGAAAAAAGAACTTTATTCTGAGTTACAAACGGGCGAAAGAGGGGGGAGGAAACGTTGCTGGGCATAAATTAACGCTGACAGGAAAATTAGAGGTTGGGAAAAGCAGGAAGAGAAGAAGGTGGAAAAAAGAGGGATGAAGGCACCTCAGAGCTGCAAAAAACCCACAGCAAGTGGGGCTCAAACAGGGACTGTTCAGGTGGGAGTTTATTAAGATTTTAATTCCTGGTTTGCTCCCCGTTAACAACACAACAGAAAACACCCGGTTTTTACCCTTTTCCTGCTTGTTTTTTCCCCAGAAAGGCTCATCCCAAGATCCTCCTGTCCCCCAGGAAACATCCCTAATTAAGTCTTGGTTTAAGGTGGGACATAAATGTCCCAGGGTTAATTCAGTCCTGGTTATAAGACCCCTCCAATCCCGTTAATCTCCAAGCCCCATTTGCATCTCCACAATATTTCAATATTCAGTAGCTTCAAGGCCACTAAATTAATTCCTCCTTGCTGCTTATTTAAGCAAAAATCCAATTCAATATGGTTTTAAGGAGTTTAATAAACAACCATTGTTCCAAATGCAATTTTGTGCCTCCAACCAATTTCAGGTCAAGTGGATTCATCACTTGTCAGACCCTTCTTTTCTCCTTCCCCCACTGTTTGATTTTTAATTAGGTTTTGATATCACCCGTTAAATTTAAATTAAGGGACAATTTAGGCCTTAATGGATTCTGCTCAATCCAGGAGTTTCATCAGGAGGATTCAATCCCTTTTCCTGATGCCCCCCCCCCCTTTCTCCCTGGCATTCCTGCAGTGCAGGATGGTGCTGGGAATCAATCCTGAGGCTCAGATTTGGAACAAAGCAGAGCATTTAATGCTGAATTTCACAAAAAAAACCAGCGTGCAAGTGGCAGCACTTTTGTTTTCTGTTTGTGGTCTCGAGCAATTTGATTTTCCTTGGAGTAGCACTGAGGATTCAAGGATCAGAGGGGTTTGGAGAGCTCTTGGGAGCTGCTGGATGGAGTTGGTTATAGCACCCCAAAGTCCTCCCCCACTGCCTCCCTTCAACCTTGGGGCTCAGAAGTCCCAAATCCCAGTTCCTGGGCTGATCCCACAGCCTGAGCAGCAGGGGAGGGAGGGATTCTGCCCCCTCAGGTGAGACCCCACCTGCAGAGCTGCTCCAGCCCTGGAATCCCCAACATCACAAGGATTTGGAGCTG